CGTGCGCGGTCGTGTGAGAAGCAGCCGGCTGTTGTGCACGTCTGCCCTGGTGCCCGGCTGATGGCCTTCGTCAAAAAAGTAACTGCAGCTTCGATTTCCGACCGTCGCGTGAGATGAGGCTGATGGAAGTCTAGGACCCCACCGTCACCTTGCGTTTGCAGGATTTGTGGAGTGCTTTAAACCTGAACGGCTGGGACCGTTGAGTCGGGAGCGTGGTGAAAATCCAGCAGGGTTACTGGGGTTTTACTTTACTTTGGTGGAGAACACAATGGGCGCTTTTGGGTTTTGGAGGCTTCGAGGGCATTTGGTGTCCCCGAGCCTGGCCCTCGCCGGGGGGGCCAGTGCTGCTCTGCACTCAGGGACAGGCTCTGCGCTCCCTGGTGTCCCTCCTGAGGGTGCCAGCCTTGGTGGCAATTTGCCATGACAGTGGGGACGACTTTGGCAATGCAGGTAGTCAAGCAGCTTGAGTCGGCGCAGGTCTTGAGCCCCAGGCAGCTGTCGGGGGGCAGTGGCTACCTGAGCATTGCTGCTGTTACTTGCTTTGTCTCCAGGAAGCCCCAAAGTAGGCAGTGAATACAAGTAGGAGAAAGCACCGTCTCCCCTGACCTCCCCTGGCATCAGCCCAGTTACAGCCTCGCACGGTTCACCCTCGTCGCCCGGCCACGAGGCTGCCTGGCTGCAGCCCGCGAGCCGCTTGCAGACGAATCCAGGTGTCCCGCAGCGTTAGTGAGACAAGGCCGTAGCCCCACGCTTCGCTTGGGAAGTGACAGGGCGTGAGACCACGTTCCTTCTTGTCCCTGCTCAGGAAGGCCAGGTCTTGTGATTAAAATGCACGGATGCTTTGCAGGAGGCCAGCCTGTTTCCATCCACTTCACCAGCATTAAAGAAGCGTCAAGCCCCAGCCGGGGTCCTGCTGCAAACCGGGCAGCGTGGCGAGGGGAGTCCTTGCCTTGGGACAGACCCCGGCCTGGGGCCACGGAGGGTGGGGAGAGGCTACAAAAGGGTGAGCTGAAACTCAGAGGTAGCGGGCAAAGCCCTGGCCTGGGGGAGAGGCGCGAGCTGGGCAGAGGCTGGCTTTGAGGGAGGGGTTTGAAGCGGGTTTGACAAGGCGGCGTCCCCAGGCGGCAGCGTCGGTGCGGCGGGGAGGGAAGGTGATGAGGCTGTCGGGGAGCAGCTGGGCATTTCTGGCTTGGTGTCAGGGACTGAGTCCCTCCTTGGCGCCAGTCACCGCAGCTTGTCGGAGCAGCCAGCCCCGAGCCCTGACCGCTGTCCTTTTATGTCCCCAGGAGCCTGATGCCACGAACGTTGGAGGGGCAGATCACCATGGAGAAGACCCCCAGCTACTTTGTGACCAAGGAGGCGCCCAGGCGGATTTACAACATGTCCCGGGACACGAAGCTGATCGTGGTGGTGAGGAACCCCGTCACCAGGGCCATCTCGGACTACACGCAGACACTCTCCAAAAACCCCACCATCCCCAGCTTCCAGGCCCTGGCCTTCAAAAACATCAGCACGGGACTGATCGACACGACCTGGAGCGCGGTGAGGATCGGGATCTACGCCAAGCACCTGGACAACTGGCTGCAATACTTCCCCCTGTCCAAATTCCTCTTCGTCAGCGGGGAGAGACTCGTGAGCGACCCGGCCGGGGAGATGGGCCGAGTCCAAGACTTTCTGGGTCTCAAGAGGGTGGTGACGGACAAACATTTCTATTTCAACGAGACCAAGGGTTTCCCCTGCCTGAAGAAGCCGGAAGGCAGCAGCAGGCCCCGTTGCCTGGGGAAATCCAAAGGACGGCCTCACCCGAAAATCGACTTGCAGGTGGTCCAGCGCCTGCAGGAGTTCTACAGACCCTTCAACATGAAGTTTTACCAGATGACAGGGCAGGACTTTGGGTGGGACTGAGGCGGTCCGGGCCGCCCAGGGCCGCCCTTCGGACAAACTCCTCCCTTCGTTCTAATTTATATCGGAGCTCTTCGGGCGAGAAACGGACCCTTACGGAGTAGAGAGAAATATTTAAGAAATAAAAACCCAGATGTCCCCTCTGCCCCCAATTCCCCAACCAGAGTAAATATTCTTCCATATAAACCTCGCTAATCTATATTAACCGTGAGCGTTTGGGGCGGGTGGGTGTGTGGCTGCGTGGTGACGACGGCTCCGAGATTCACAATAAAAGCTTTGGAAAGGAGCGGGCCTCTCGGTCGTGCCTCGCCGCGCTGCCGGGCTCCTGCGCGCGG